GAGCAGTCTTGAGCCTTCTCCTGAGGCCCAGTGTGAGACACCAGGCTGGGAAGTCCCAGTGTGCAAGCTGAAGGCATGTGTGTTTAATTTGGCCCTCGGGTATTTACAGAATTCTAAACTAGCGTCCAACAGAAAAATATGGATCCCTGGCCTCTCAGAAGGAGACGGCAGATCCAAGTGCTGGGGGGCCTCCGCTGTGGAGGCAGGATGTTCTTGGGGTGGCGGCCGCCCCGAGACACAGCTCTTCTTGGTCTGGTGGCTCAGAGACATTTCAGGTAGAAAGAGCTTTTCTGCAACCTGATGCCTCTTCTACATGTGGAGAAACTGAGTCCCAGACAAACCAAGATGTGACTTGCAGGGTGACGTGGGGACACTGGGGTCAGAGCCAGAGGTGAAGGAACCCGCTCTCCATACTATAGGAGCAGCGCCCTGGCTGCACCACGGGCCTGTCGCGCCTGCCAGCAGGGGGCAGTCGTGGTGCTGGCTGCCTCTTTCCCCCTTTCCTGTGCTCTTCTGTCGCTGTCTTCCTCTGATTTTTGCTGCTCTTGCCAAGCTTTTCCTCTTTATCTGGCCCTGGACTGTCTCCCTGCCTCTCTGCTTCCCTCTCCCCCTCCCTCTGCCATTTTTCCAAAATCTCCTAGAACCTGGGGGAATGTTCAGGATACTGTCCTCCGCTCCCTTGCGGCCTCTGTTCTCCTGGGCCCAGCGCCCTCAGCTCTGGTGTGTAGGCAGAAGGCCCAGAAGCCCCCAGGAGATAACCCAGTCCATGTGGGGACGGCCACCGCTCAGAGCCTGTAGCTGTGCTGTCCTAGATACACTGACTTCTTCCAAGAGGACAGGAGTCTGCATTTTCACGTGAGATTCTCCGTTTTTTCAATTTTGGACACGAATTTAGAGCTGCAGCCTCAGCTGTAAAACAAAGCATCATCTGGGGCACCTGGCAGGTTTCATGAATGTGGCATGTCACCTTTGCATCAGTGCAAATCCCTAGGTGGGGGACCTCCTTCTGGCTCCTCTCTGGGGCTTGTGGATCCAGCCACAGTCAGGCATTGAGTGGACATAGCTGAACCTACAGTCCCAGACTCTCGGGACGCTGAGCAGGCTCCAGCGCCCTCTCCCACCTCCCGCAGCCCTCCGTGATGCCCTCACCCTCGGGTAAGAGGGCCCACTTCCAACCTTACATCTTGGAGAAAACCTGGGAAGGGTTATGGCTCTGAAGAGGTGAAGAGAGCCGTTATGTTTCTCCTTCCAGAGTGGTCCTGTAAAATGGTATGCATTGGATCGGATTCGGTTTGCTGAGTGCCTGAGCATGGGACTTACCATGTTGGACAAAGACCTCAGGTGACTGTGTGGGGCTCGGAAAGACCTGGACACTAGGTGGCTCCACCCCACCGTGCTGAAGGCTGAGCGCTTGGCCAGCCAGACCTGCAACCCATTACGGATTCTTCCTCCCTCCCTCTGTTCCATCATTCATCCAACGCTTGCTGAGCACTTCCTGTTGCCCGGCGCGGTTCTTTGAGCTGGGTTGGATGTAAAGGGGTCCTTCAGAGCGCCTCCTGAGGGCCTCAGTTAGTGGAGAAGAGACTTAGAAAATGCAGCTAACACTGTAGTGAAATAATCTACATACTAAAAACAGAACCAGAGGAGAGAGGTCAAGGGAAGCTTGAAATATGGGGATGACATTTGAGTGACATTTGGGGATGGAGTTTGCTGGCAGTGAAGGGCATTCCAGATAGCTCAAACAGCTGGTGTCAAAACCAAGAGCTGTGCAGCAGTATGTTTGGAGAACGGTGAAAAGTTAGTGGGACTTAAATGCAGGGATGTGGGAGACGTGGCTTTAATAAGGTAGACATGTATTTCTTTCTCTCTTGAAAGTCCAAGTGGGAGGTGGCCCAGGAATGCTGCCCCACCAGGTTGTCCCAAGTCCTCAGGTGTTGCCTTCACTCATTCAGGTGAAGATGGCTCCGGCGCCAGCCCCATCTCTATACTTCAACAGTTAATAGGGTTTGACTTGGAAGTTGTGTTTACATCCTGTTGACCAGGTATATGGCCCGACCTTACTGCAGGGAAAGTTGGAAAATGTAGTTTTTAGCTGTGTGGCTAGGGGTTATATTACTGAAAGAAAGAGGCAGAAATTGGATATTGGGAAGCAGTCAGTAGCCTCTGTCCTAGGAAGATGCAGACTGAATCGTGAGGTGCTTTGTAGGGAGCTGGGAGGTTTTTAAAGCAGGGCAGTGCTGTGATTTAAAAAGTGCTTTTCCACCGATGGGGCCAGCAGCTACGTGGCCAGTAACCATGGGGCTGTTGTCAGAGGGAGGGTGATGCTGTGGAAAAGTCCACTAAACTGCCGAGGTGAACCTGGCCTCTTGCTGGTTTGACAGGCTGGAAGTCAGTGGGTTCTGGGGGTTGGTGGGTTCCTGGCTGCTGTTGCTACGAATCTGCCAGAAGTCATGGACCCATTGGGGTCCGGGTTCAATCAGGAGGTGGATACCTTCCATTTGAGACTTACCCAAGACTCAGTTTTAGAGTTTGTTAATAGTGTGAGCGGTGGAGAAGTGATGACGGCAGAGACGGAGGCCCCGTCCTTCGGTTGGGTCTGCAGCATCCTTTCACACAGGATCCTGAGGAAGCGTCAGGAGAGGGGGTGGATCTGCAGACCAGTGGCTTCAGTTCTCCGCTCGGCTCCTGCACTCTGAAAGGGGAAACCGTGCTGATACCTTCCTCATCGGTCAGAGTGTTTAACTGAACTCCTCTGCCATACTTGAGAAATTTTCTCCCTGTTGAGAACAGAAACTTCCCAGTGAGAAGAGCCTGGGATTTCTCAGCATTTCTAGGGTGCCCACAGGGTGACCCCCGAGGAGATGAGCGGCACGTGGCCCAGGGAGGAGCAGGGGCTTTTAGTCACTCAGCCGAGGCTGCTCATGCAGGATCTGCCACTTACTTAACCCTGTGACCTTGACCAGTGAGACAGTCCACAGCCCCTGTGAGTCTCGGCTTCCTTACCCGTAAGTCAGAGCAAATGTTACATAGGTCTCACGTTGCCGGGAGGATTGGAGAAGCCACTGACTGCACCTGGCTCGGGGCTTGGCATGCTGTGGGCATTCCAGGGACCTCTTCAAGGCTCTCATATTACGTTTGCCCAACCTCAGGCCTCAGATGTGTCTTCTCCATGTGGCAAATGTGTCCCCTCCACAGGAGGTCCTTGGGGCCCCTGGCCCTGCAGCCAAGGTCAAGGAGAGCTCCCCAGGCGGCCCCTGTCATCCTCTCCTGTGTCCTCGTTCCCTGGGTCTTGCAGGCAGCTGCGAACTTGCTGACGTTTATACAAGGCTGCTCACATTATGGAAAAGCCAAATAGACTGAGTTTTTTAAAAAGGCTTTTTGGCACCGCCTCACCTTTTGATACTAGATCTCACTGGTCATCATGTGCCTTAAGGAAAACTGTACCTCTGGGGCGCAGGACCCAGACTGTAAATAGGTTGACCTTCAGCCCAGAAATGGTGGGAGGACAGGTCAGTCTCAGCGTTCGAGCCAGTGTGCTCACCAGTGACACAGTATTCTTAGAAGGGATTTTATTTTTTGGAGTCTATTGCCTTCCCCATCACCAAATGGCAGCGGCACTGGAAAGATTCTAGCCTGTCGTGTGGGTGTGTCACGCAGGAATGGGTGGTTTCCAAAAGATGCCGGGGCTCAGGTGTCAGCCCTCCTTGACCCCGTATCCCCTTAGCCAGATGGTGGTCACTTCACAGCTGCGAGGTCTTCGCTCTAGATGAGCTTTGTGGGAACTCACTCCCCACTTGACCACGAGACGAGGAGATACTTGCTTAGCTGGGAGCCCATCTGGAGCCTTTGAGATGGTGTTCTGCTGTCAGAGAGAGACGATAAAGAAATACGAGACATCTGTCTTGAGGTTGGGCTGTCGGCTCTGGCCGAGGGGAGGACATCCCTTCTGTCCTCCCCAGACCTTTGCAAAGGGGCGGAGCGGCTACGGCCTGGTTTGGGGCTGGCTGAAATGCCCAGTGCGCTGGCTGTGACATTTCCCACGTAACAACAAACATTGTCTGGCACAGTTTAACGAAAAGGCTTATGTTCACGTGCTGTGTATGGATGGATTCACCCTCAGAGGCGCTATCATGAACCTCTGAGCACTGTCTGAGCCAGGAACTGGGAGGGACGTGGGTAGAAGATGGAGGTCGACTTCAAATGTAACTTTTCCATCTCAGAGGGAGAGGAGTCGGATACCAAGAGGCCCAAAACACAGAACTTAACAAGTGTGGTTATAGACATTCTGACAAAATGCTGTGTGAATGTAGAAGGGGGAAGACAGATGAATGCTCCAGGGAGTGCTCAGAACACCAGCCTGTCGGGGGGGAGATGGTGTTCAAGCTGTGCCTTCATGGAGGGATGCCTGCTGGGTTAGTGGTTGGAAGCCCCAGAAGGATAGAAGCATTGCAGGGGCAGGACCATGGCTGTTGTGTTGAACATGGTGACTCTGGGGCTCAGGATGTACTTGGATGGATGGATGGATGGATGGAAATGTAGGTGGATGAACAGATGAACGGACGAATTAAATGAAGACAAAAATCTCATCTGTGTGGGGAGGATGGCTTGAATGGTAAAAGAGTGGCAGAAGGAAGTTAGGCATATGGGTAAAATTATAACCAGTTTGGCCTCAGTGACTGAGCGAGCATGGTCAGAGAAAGGGTTGGAAAGAAAGACTTGCCCCAAATGGTGAAGGCACAAGAAGTTTGGCATTACTCCACAGAAAGTGGGCTGCTAAACCGCGGGAACTATTTTGGGTAGGTCTGTCAGTAAGCATGCGTAACTCTTAAGTTTCAAGAGTAGAATTGAAACTGGAAAAAGAGCTCTGACATGGCCTCGTCTGGCGTCTCCGGGCGGCGAGTCAGTCTCCGACGACACCGGCTGCCGGCCCGGGGTTAGGTGACTGGCAGCGGCAGGGCCACCCCCAGGTCGGGCTCTCATCACTGTCTTCTCCCCCCCAGACGTGTGCAACAGCACCGACCTTCCGGAAGTCGAAATCATCAGCCTCCTGGAGGAGCAGCTGCCCCATTACAGGCTAAGAGCCGACACCATCTACGGTTATGACCACGACGACTGGCTCCACACCCCCCTCATTTCTCCAGATGCCAACATCGACCTCACCACCGAGCAGATCGAGGAGACGCTGAAGTACTTCCGTGAGTGGTCCCCCTCGGCTGTAGCTTCCAATGAGCGCGCATGCTGGCTGCCCTCGGTAGAAAGCGCTCAAAGAAATAGAGCTGCGGGGTTTAACCATGTAAAAGACTTGATTTTAAGACATGAATAGAAATGTTGGAGTAGCGGGGACAAGTGCGAGTTTGCATTTGAACCGGCCTTCTCGTTTTGTTGTTTGTTTTGCAACAATTTATTTTATCTTTATGATTTACTATTTTTATTTTTTGTAATTGAAGTCTAGTCAATTTACAATGTTGTGTTTCTGGTGTACAGCATAGTGATTCAGTAATACTTATACATAGAGGTATATATATATTCCTTTTCCTGTTGTTTTTCATTGTTGGGTGTTACAGGGTTTTGAGTATAGTTCCCTGTGCCATACAGTAGGTCCTTTGTTGTTTGACCTAGCGTCCCTTAACTATACGGAAGATTGGAAAGTGCTCCCATTTCCCTCCTTACCAAAAGTATCGTGTGAGTCCACAGAAACTCATATTGGAAGGGGTTTGTCTGCATTTAAAGCCCGAGGTATTGGGAATCTGTAGTCTGCTCAGTGTCAATAGGACATAGCCTGACATACCAAGGCTGCCGATTGCCCGTGAAAGCCACTCGGCTGGTTATTCGGGAGAGTCAAGCTGTTGCTGCAGCTGCAGGCTGGCCCTGCCGTGGACTGCAGCGCTGACGCCCGGTACGGTGAGCAGTACAGGTGGCAGGCTGCTTTTTCCAATGTGTTTGTGATGACAAGGGTGTGAAACCTGATCTTGCAGACTTGGAAAATATATGACAAATTTAAAAATTCATACCAGTGATTTTTAATTTAATTTAAATTTTAAAAAATTAATTTTTAAAATTTTTAAAAATTAAGTTTTAAAAATTCATACCAATGGTATTTCTGATGTTCATTCCAGAGGTGCTTTTTTTGATGTGATTTTTCTCTTTAGAAATTCATGGCAGCCCTATCAGATTGGTAATAAGACCAGTTCTCCTTTGTTTTGACACGTCTGACTTAAAAATTCAAGTTGATTTGAACCTACTCTAAATTAGTGGTGTCACTTTGAAAGTGACATGATTTCCATAACTGTCACCTTACAAAAAATACAGCAATCCTGCTTCTACTTGGAGATAACGTGGTTCAAAACTGGCTTCTAGTGCATTTGTGAAGATTTTTGTAATTTTTTTTGTAATTATTTTTTCTAGTACAAACATATCTCCAGTGTTCTTGAATTTATGAATCATTTATAATAAAACAAGTGAGAACTAAAGTTTCTCCTTGAGAGTATATCTGGGCTGTTTCCACGTTTTCTCTGATAGACATCAGGAAGAAAGGAATTTTGTTTAAATGGACCTGCGTTTTTATATTTAATGCAGAACCCTGCAATCCCTTTGTAAACACTGCAGCTAATTGATTTCGATCAGAATAAAGATGGCGTCATCTACACCAGGGCGGATCTGAGGCTCATTAGACATGTCCTGATGTTCAAGTTGATGCTTTAGAACTTCTGCGGTGTCTGGTAGGAGATAGGAGGCACATGGCAAGTCCCTTCTGTTTACTCACGGTATCTGTACACCCAGGGAGATGTGGTGTGTGGAAAACCGTGTCCTGGGTGACCTCCCTGGTTTCTTCATACTGCTTTAACAATAGAATTCATAGCAGAATTACTTGTCTGGAAATCCCTGGAATCGTGGCCGTTTCTGCCGAGGGAGGCTCCTGGGTCCTTCACATACATGCTGATGAGTCACTTACGTTCAGGGTGTGATTGGAACACCGTCCAAGGGTAATACTTCATTGTGGTCAGAGACCTTTCTATGAATTGCCTCGTTTCGTCCCTGTAAAATGTCTACACTTTGGGCCAGGCTGGTTTTATTATCCAGGAAACTGAGCGTGGCGGGCTTATAGTGTGTGTTCTCTAGCACTGATCTGCAGCTTCTAAAGCCCTTTTTACAGTAGGCTTGAACAGATATGGTGGCTTGGTATATTACTCGTTGGTTTTGTTTTGCTACTACTGATGTATTTAAAGGAGAGAGATAAAAAAATCCTGGTGGATTTGGCAGTGGATATTACAGATTATAGTAAAACCGGAAGAACCAAAATAAACATTGAGGAGAGATTCTGAATGTTCTTAGAGCGTGGTTGCATCCAAGTCTGACCTAACTTCTGCAGTTTTTTTCTTTTTGGGGGAGAGTGGGAAATTAGGTTTATTTATTTATTTAATGGAGTTACTGGGGACTGAACCCAGGACCACGTGCATGCTAAGCATGCACTCTACCGCTGAGCTATACCCTTGCCCCACCCCTGTATTTTCTTTTGTGGTCCCTGTTCTTAGAACAAAGTAGGGATTTACTCAGTGAATGATTAAGTGCTAACTCTTAGCTGAAATACAGCACCTTCTGGAGCAGGGCTTTCAAACTGAGGTCCTGGAGTCCCCAAAGGGTCTGTAGAGAGAAATGGGTCCTCTGAACTTGGAAAGAAAATTACATCCGTAATTTCAAAAACTTCTAACTGAAATGCAGCACCTTCTCTCATGATGAATGTAGACAATAAAGCACAGTGGTATTACCAGGATCTGTGACTTTGTCACCAGGACAAAGTACAGATATTTTCATGTCATGCTACAGGGGAAGCAGATGCTTTGAAATACCTTTACTCATCACTGCTTTGAAACTACATTTATTATTAGATGTGCTGGTAGATCTTGTTACTGATTGCACTGATAAAGCATTTGTATCACAGACTTTTTTTTTTTGAAGTTTTAGTTACTGTATTGTAATACACTTGGTTTCCTTTGTAGTCCCTTGTGTTTTGTGTCTTTAAATCTTTCTTCTGAGGGAAGAGTCTGTGAGCCTTGCCAGACTGGCCCAGGGGCTGGTGGAAGCGCAGGTTAGGAGCCCTGTTCTGTACGTGGTGTCCTTTTGGGGTTTCATTTGTTTGTTTACATGTGTGTAACCCAGGAGATGCCATGGCTGACACCACTGTGACTCACTGTTGTGTTAAATCAGTTGTGAGGTGTTGGGGAAGACACCATAAACCTCCCTTTCATTTTAGATTTATTTTCCGCATCAGTCAGGGCAGTGGTTCTCTTTGTGAGTAGGAATCAGGAGAAGGGTGTCCCGGGGGTTCTCATATGCTCCCCCAGGTGAGGGCCGCTGGACAAGAGGGTCACCTGCACCATTGCTGCACAGATCAGAGCAGACACCTGGGGGGACGGGAGGTGAGATGAAACTCATTTCTCTTCCTACATGTCATCCCCAGAGTAGAGACACAGTGCTTTGCCTTTTAAATCTGACCTTCACCTGGCTTGTTAAGAAGAGGCAAGGAAGTTTTGGGTGTCCACCTTTACCAGGTGGCAGGATGACCTTTTCAGATAATTTCAACAGTCAAGAGGATTTTTTGTCTCCTGCTGAGTCTGATGAACATGGAAGATGACAATGACCCACCCAGCAAGTGTAGCCATCAATATGGGCCATTTAGGGTTGGATAGTCCAACAGGAAGAAAGAATAGCCAACATTTAGTGCTTCCTGTGTGCCAGGCACTGTTTTTGTTGTTGTTGTTGTTTAATTGAAGTATAGTTACAATGTGTCAATTTCTGGTGTACAGCACAATGTCCCAGTCATGCATATACATATATATATTCAGTTTTGTATTCTTTTTCATTAACAATTATTACAAGATATTGAATATAGTTCTCTGTGCTATACAGATGAAACTTTTTAAATCTGTTTTTATATATAGTGGCTAACATTTGCAAATCTCAAACTCCCAAATTT